TCCATCCATCCATCCATCCATCCATCATTTTTTATGTTAATTTTATTTGTATTTTATAAATTCAATTCTACTTAAATGTATTTCTTTATTCTTTTGTTTATCGATTTACGATTTTATTTTTGTAAATTTATTCAAAGAAACTTATACCGTATAGGGTAGCGGTTTTTGCCCCTATGCAATGTGTGCCCTCTCAACCATGTCCATCACGTGGTGACCAAACAATAACTTCGAAAAAATTAATGATTAAAACTCACGAGAGGTGTGCGATACACAGGGAAAAAATAAACTTTCTCACATCTAAAATATAATCAAGATGGCTGATAAATACGAAGAATACAACTACGACGAGAGTGTACACTCAGGAGGAGCAAGAAAAGGAAAATCCAAGAAAGAAGCAACTCAAAATAAAAGCATCTCAACGCAAGGACACAACGAAAGAAAAGTGGCTGAAAATATACAACACGGAGAAAATAAGAGAAAAGAGGAGGCGTTAAAGCAAATGGAAAAAGAAGATAAATAGAGAAATTTTCACCTTGGATTATAAATTTAAGATCATGGATTTTAATATGCAGATTTTAGACTACGATGAATAAAGCAAGCTCGAAATTTCTATCGACACTTGTACTCCTCTGGTTTGCTTACGTGTACAAAAAAATTCAGACTGATTTGGTGCTGGGACTCCTGAATACCTTTGACTAAAGACTTTGGATTTATATAGAAAGAAAGGCTTTACAAAGTTCTGCTTCGATTGCTATTGAATTTGTTTTAAATTTCTTGAATTTATATATTTAAATCCACGTGTTTATACTTTAGTGGTCGTTAGCTAATTTGCATATTTTAATGAAAAATTTAAATTTTGAAATAATAAATTTTTCTAAAATTTATGAACTTTGTATTTCTATGTATCATTCTTAGTATAATGCTGTTGCCTTTTGGACTATTAGATTTTAGTATAATTTTAGACTCGAAAATAGAGTTTTTCATGCTGTGATTGGTTGAGTGACCAGTGATTCTAAGGTGATCATCACTGCTTGAGCAGTGATTACGAGGTTCTCCAACGTTTGCCAGAGTGGGAGTAATGCTAAAACGCTTTTTTATCCTGCACTTAGAATTTTCTCTGATATTCAAGTCTGAAATTATGCTAAAACAATTATTCCTCTCAAGCTCAGTGATTATAGTGAATATTTGAGCTCAACTTGCGGCTCTGTAATAATTATTCCACCAATAATAACTATTAAATATTTTTTAAGATCATTTTAAATGCAAGGATAACTAATATACACAAATTCCACCATTGTTCTGTTCACACCCAAGATAATTCTTAAAATGTCATTGATTCTTATTGCCCATGCATATTTGGTTGTAAATCAGTAAATCAATTTGATAGGAAGATCTCTTTAACCAGCTTTTCTCCCCTACATCCCAACCACAACATTTAGGGCCAGAGGAAAAGGGGGTTGGGTGATGACAACAGTCTAATGATTGTATGGAAATCATAAGTCCCTTTCCAAGTTGGCTGCGCCATCTTGAAAGATAGCCATGCCTTTGCATTGAAGCGAGATGATAATAAAGACCTTTTTAACACCTTGGACAATTGTCTCTATCATTGCAAGCTCACTGTTAGTCTCGCTTTGATGCAAAGGCATTGCTACCTTTGAAGATGACGCAAGGAACTGTGAAGGGGACTGTTGCTTTTGTATCGAATCATTATAGAGGCTTTGAGCTGTCACATGCCAGTGCCATAATCCAGCTTGGACTGCCTGTGGTTAGATGGCAGAACAATAAAATCCCCTTGCTCTTGTGAATTGAATTCTTTCTCATGTAAAACGATTGTATTGTTCCTGCCATCTAACATGGCTGCCATCAAGTGCAAAACCTCTATTGCAGTTGTATGGTGATAAATAGTGGATTTTAGATAACTTCTCATCAAATAAATAATGGTAAACATTTTGTTCTATATTTTAGCATCTCTGTTTTATTAGGCCAGAAGTTGATATTACAGCTAATAGCTGGCTTAAAGTAGATTAAACATAACTGTGATGGACAGACAGACAGACACAAGTGCCATACAATTAAACAGCATAGTGTCTAAGTATTTTGATTGGATAAGCAGTGGCCTCATGCAATACTACTGGTCCAAAAGATGCAATAAATTCTAAAGCACAGGCCTTATTGAGATAGTAACCATGGAGCATTCTGGTGTAGCTTGGGTACAAACATCTTGATTCATCATGGGTATGTGATATTTGTACCCAAACCTAGACCAAAATGCACACTGTTGAATCAAGACCCTTTTCTAGTTCCAAATTTCCGCTGTGTTTCTTGATTACAGACTCATTTACTCAGGCTTAGCCTCGAATCAGTGTTTAATTACTCGCAAATACCAACGGAAAAGTAAAAAAAAAGCACAACTTACTGCAACAATACAAAGACTTTGAAACTGGACGGACCTTGACTGGAACACATGAATATTCTTCACAATATCAAGGCTAAACCTGAGTAAATCAGTCTGTAATCAAGAAACACAGCGGTAATTTGGAACTTGAAAAAGGTCTATTCAGAAAAGTCCTATGCCAGTGCCATACACAGTTCTATAAAATCTAATCTAACAGATTATTGGCTTCCTAGTGTTAAAATATTATTACGATGGTCTGTAGAAATATTAGCTGTAAGAGTAGCAGATTAAAATTAAAGGAAGATGTATATACCTTGTTTTGATTCATGAGCCAGTTAATTTCTGTTTTGAATGGACTTTTTATCACATGTTGCCATGGTTATTTCCAGGAGAATAAAAATGTTTGGTTTAAATCTGCATACATTGTAATCTCCTCATGAAATGCTTTAAATCGAGGCTATTCAGAGGGAAATTTATTGTTTTGGTCAACATGACTACTGCATGAGTAAGGTCCATTGTTTATGAATATAGTGTACAGCACAAACACCTCTAAAAATATCAAGCCTGTACTTTGATTTTTAAATAAGTTATTATATGCACATATTTAACTATAGACCCTTTGCACTGAGTCCAAAGAGGAATTGTTCTGGGGGACAAAACAATGGATTTTGCATAAGAAAAGACAGCCTATTCTTGTCCCCCAGAACAATCTTTCTAGGATATCAATGCAAGGGGTCTATAGTAGAATCTCTAAAGAATACATATAATCAGTATTTGGGGTTCCTGTGTACCACAAGATGAGAGAGACTAGGAACAACACTTCATTCATTTTCAAATTTCATTAACTACACAGGAACCCCAAAGGAGGCTAAATATCCCAAAACTCTATATGGATGATTGCGTGGTCTAGATATGTTCCATTATCAGTTAAGTTCATTGAAAATTTTTGAGAAATCTGCACAATTTCTTTAAATCTAAATAAAATCGTCAAATTCATTTCCAAGATCAAGGCCATAATCCATATCATCTTTTTTTCCGCCTTTGGTTGCTCCAACTAGATTTACTTTCTTGGCTTTTCCTTTTCCTTTCGTCTTGCCCTGTTTGAAAGCACAATGGAGTTTTAGATATAGAGGCTTTGCACCATCATGTGAAGGCAGCCATGACAGGAGGCACAACAATAGGGTCTTTTTCCCCTGGGTGGGTACTTTCAGCACACACAAAATGGAATTAAAAACTTTTCCAAGTTCATGACACTCACCTTTTGTGCTTTTACTTTTTCAGAATGCAGCAAATTCAAGGTAGTAGCTAATTTTTTAATATCATCTGCGTCCACTGTAAAAACAAATAGGGGATTTAAGCATTTCTATTTGCTGTAATAGAAATATAAAATATAACTTGAATCAAGTTGCTTTGGTTTTAAACCAATCAATATCTGCTTGGCAGAAAATGAACCTGTGAAAATGTACTTAAACTTCCTTGATTGTTGGCCTAATTATCCCTATATCTTACAATTCCCATAAGAAAATAATATGAAGAGAATCCTGTAGAAAGGGAGGATACGAAAGGATTATAAAGGTACGTTTTAAGTTAATAGTACTCACAACTTGCACATAGATCTCTAAGCATATCATCCAGAAACTGAACATATAAAGCACTAGACTGAAAAAGAAAAAAATCATAAGATGGATGAGTATAAACCGACAAAAAATAGAACATTCTGGGTACTAAGTACTTTGGTATGAGCTTAGTTATTACATGTTGTATATTACCTCCATCTTAGACAACTTGTCTACTAGCATTTTACTATATTCTGTAAATTCTTCTAGTGTCTTTGGGTTCATTGAATCTAAATTATTTGTTGTTGATATTTCATCCTTAGTCGTTCCTGGATGGCAAAGTCAGAGAAAGAGAGAAAAATGAGCTGTGTCACAAGAATTAGTTCAAACACTTTAAAGTATATGTAAAGTGTATGCTACATCGAGTGTATAAGCAGATTAAATCACGCACGGATTTGATTTAAAACATAGATCTAACACGACCTTCTCCCATAAAGCCTCAGTGGCCGAGCGGTTGAGAACTCGTCTAGCAAATGAGAGAGCAGTGGTTTGAGTCCGAGAGAACCCAACTGAGGCTTATACACCCGATGTAGCATACACTTTATATATAGATCTGTACAGAGTGACAAAAATACATTTTAAAAGTATGTTTCAGCTGATGTTCAAACAGTGAGAAGGGAGTTGAAAGCATCAGGAATAGCCAAATGTTTGAACCAAACTCAGGGAGATCTACCAGTTTTATCTGTAATCACAGAGTGGGACAATCACAAATGGAACCACAGATCCATGCTAGGTGAAAGCCCAAGATCGAATTGGAATTTTAGAAGTTGATTTTTGTGGAGGGAGGAAAACCGGAGAACCCGGAGAAAAACCCTCAAAGCACAGGAGAGAACCAACAAACAACTCTACTCACATACGAAACCGAGCACGGCGGGGCTCGAACTCGGGTCACATTGGTGAGAGGCGGCGCATTAGCAGCGCAGGCCACCTGTGCTTCCCATGATGGAGGATACAACACTGGTTCTCAAATTTAAAAGGCTTCTCAAACCATTATCACTGTTTTTTTAAACAAATCCTTACCAAATGTATCCACTGCTAATAACAAATCTGACTCCTCTTGTAATCTGAGAGAAAATAAACAAATGGAAACCATCATCAGAATCAATCACCACTATGACCATCATCATTGTCATAATAATTACATTCAACACCAGAAGCAGTAGCAAATATCATCATCATCGGCAGCAGCAGCAGCAGCATCACCACCAACATCATCAACATCACCATACTCATTATCATCATCAAAATCCCCACCATCATCATAAATCGAAAATAGTGTTTTGTTAGTATAGAATAACAGCTTGTAACTCACTTCTGTTGCCGTAATTTTTCAGCAATTTGTTCCTCTGGTGTCATAGGTTTAGCTTCCTAAAATAAAAATCACAATGAAATCACTTTTAAAATTACAGCCATCCTTTATTGCATTTACATATAATACATAAATCTGATTTAGATGTTATTTGCTATGTAAATGCAATGAAGGATCTGATTTGTTCCAATTCCTAGACTCAGCAAAGTATCACAGGAGAATACAATTGTTTTCTCCTTGGTTCTCTCCTTTGATTGGAGGTTGGGTTTTTCCCAATTAACTCCAGTTTTCCTCCCTCTTCAAAACCTAACAAGCTAAATTCCAATTTCATCTGTGAGTAAACCATGCCCTGACTTAGATCAGACCAGAAGTTGTTTCAGGGTTCTATCTGTGAGTTAACCATGCAATACAATACAATACAATACAATACAATTTTATTTGCTCATACAAGAAAATTTACATGAAATGTGAAAAACAACTATAGAAAACAACTAWGAAAATAAAGAATAGATAATTGTCAAAAGAACATAATTCAGAGCCTGGGGTCTAAATTAACCATAAGGTTTTCGAGTTAGACCCCAGCAATTTAAAATTTAACATTGGAGTAAACTGAAGAAGAACCAAGTACATAAAAAATAATTACAATTTAACTGAACAATAAAACTGTTAATC